AAAATTAACCTCACAGAAACTTACCTGACCCTAAAACTAACCTAAACCTTGGTCCTAAACATAACTCCACACCTGGAACATGCATTTGGACCCGTGGGGACCTGACAGTGGTCCCCACGATTCACTTCGTCCCCACGAGGCTGCTTTTTTGGGGGGGAAATTGTCCCCACATTGTAGGAAAAACCCATCACACACACACACACACACACACACACACACACACACACACACACACACACACACACACACACACACACACACACACACACGTTACAAGAGAGTGCTGGATTGTGGTGTCAGTTCTTAGAGCAGAGGGAGACGAGTATTGAATTTTAACCTCCTCATCCATCTGTCATGTTCTTTCCCCCTCCTGTAAAAAAGCTGAGCAAGCATTCGGTATCAGCAGATTTACATGTGTGTGTGTCTGAATGAGAGAGAGTGTCAGAGTAAAATATGTGAGGGGTTCCCTGGACAAGAAGAGACAGAAAAAAAAAACATTGCATAACAGTTTAACCATCCTGCTGCCCTTAGGTCAAAATGACCCACAAGGCCCAAGTCTTAAAACAGACCTCATGTCTCATCTTAACCCAAGGGCAGCAGCAGTTTTTCTTTTTATTAAAAAAAAATCTACATTTGACTTTGAAAGAAAAGTTTGTCATCTTTCAGAGGATGCTCATTTGACACCCCCGTCTGTTTTTAATCCTCTTTTCCTCTTTGTGAAACTCTCAAAGTGTGAAAGTCTCAGTCTGTCTGACTCGTGTGTTTGCCGAGGTCACCACATTGTGTGTGTGTGTGTGTGTGTGTGTGTTTCTCCAGTTTTTCAGCCGCCTTCTCTCTCTCTCTCCTATTATCTTCTCAACAATGTCTTTACTGTTTTCACACACTCTCTATGTGTGCTGTTACCATGACAACAACATAATGTGCTAATGGTTGCAATAGACAATCCTAAATATTTTTAATATTTAATTTAAATACTAAAAATATTTAATATTTTATGTTATTGTATATATTATTCTTACTATATATTAAATGTACTGGACAACACGTTGATAATAGTTGGGTTAAATTKAACTGATCTGATTGGAGGAACAGACGAAAAGCAGTTTTTAAAGGGACAGTTTGCCAGACGGGTCAAACGAGGTGGTGGTAGTGTCATGATTTGGACTAACAATCTGGGTCAGTTATGAAAATTGAAATTTGTTTAATTGTGATATATTTTGTCTAAAATCGCCAAGGTGCTGCCCTCTATGGGTTGAACAAKRGCTACTGCAGTTGAATTTTCCTATTGGTTAAAACAGTACATGCTTACATCATAGCTCCTGTGTTTGGGTRTAAAAGCCTCTCACTCAGATACGTCCAGGAGGCAAGACAGGATCTGGAACAGGGAACACTGTGATGAAAGTTTGTTGCTATTTTGAACATTAGCCCATGTTAGCRATGAGGCTGCAGACTTTAACACTCCCTCACACACACATTACCTCAGCAGCATCAGATTCATGTTTGAAGAGCAGCGCGACGTGTGGACGTCTTCCTCRTGTCACAAAACAAATTGAATTGAAGTACTTTGTGATCTTTGTGGGTCAATATTTTTTAAACTAACTAAGTTGCTGTTCTGCTTCGTCTTCAATATTCCGTCTGTAATAAATCTGTTGATGTTTAAAGGGCTCGACACACGGG